CTGTGTGGTGCTCAGTTGCCGACTGAGGTTAAAACCACGACACCAGCTAATAGTCCACCCATGGTCACCCATGCACACCGCTGGCAGCAACTTGGCACTGGTCCTACAGATTCAGCAGCAAGGCCAAAAACGAACAAAAATGCTGCAGGAGCTTCTCTGCCTGTCTCTCCCTCCATCAATATATCAGGCCTAGGGAAAACAGAGACAGCATCGGGCTTCACATGGGATTTCTCAGCAGGGCTCCTCTCCCATCTCAGATCTAAGAGACTGCAGTGATTTGTATCTTTGAATGTATTTTCAGTTCATTTTCCTTTTAATGATGCTGAAGAAAGGGGTGTCAACACAAAGGAAGATGTATCTGTCACTCCACACCGCTCTGGTTTCTAGCAGCAGGCAGGCTGCTGCTTGGAGCTGGCAAGAAAAAAAATACCGTGGTCGGTTTTGTTGTTGGTTTTCCAAGGAAGGAAAAAAATGCCAGCACTGATAACTGATTGACTCAGAGCATACAAAGCTGTAAAGAAAAAAATGTGCCCAAAGATTTTCGTCAAAAACCTGAAACCTTCCAAATGTCACCATGATGCTTCAGAGTGCCTCCTCTTGCATGGCCATACCCTGTGTCCCAGGGACCTGGGTGGCTTGGACCTGGAGATGAACACCATCTCCTCTCCTTAGGGGTCCTTGTGGGAGTTTCTGCCTGCAGTATCCCATGGGAAGTGTCCATCTGGGGAGCACAGCTCATAAAGCATGTTCTAGGCAAGAGGTACCCAGCTTCAGGCTCCAAGAGTCACAGCCATTGCTGAGGCTGGAGGCGCCTCTGGAGACCATCTATTGCAGCCCATGCTCAGAGCAGGGTCGGCCACTGTGGGTTGCTCGGGGCCACATCCAGTTGGGTTTCAAGTATCTCCAAGGATGGAGACCCTACAAGTCTGAGCAACCTGTGCCAGTGCTCAGTCACCCTCACAGTAGAGAAGTCAGTCATGATGGTAACACTTACAAACGCAAAAACTAATAATTACAACCTCTTCCATTTTTCTCCTTTATTTAAAGGAAAAAGAAAGAAATGCAACTATTTTCATCCAAAACCACACATTTTTTAAAGGTAACCTAGTTTTCCCTCAACAAACTCTCCACGTGGACACTTTGGGAATAATCCCACTACTTTTATCTTCATACCAGAGCAGCACCTGCCTGTGGAGTGCATTACACTGTTGACAGAAGGGTTGGTGATACTGTTGGCCATTATTAACTTTATTTATTTAGCACCTAGCAAATGCAGTCAGGCTCTTTGTGCTAGGCACTGCCCAAACAAACTGGAAGGAAGACAACCTGTTCCCAGAGAAGGTGTTATTTACCTGTTAAATAGTAGGCTGCAAAGAAATGGGTGGAGGGAGGCAAGGACACCAAAGCTTTTGTACTAATCTCCGAACTTTAGCATCATTGCTTCCCTCATCGCAGCCGTACATGGGAGAACAGCAAGATCCTGGCTGCGCTACCCGAGAGCATTAGCCGGTCAAATGATGGAGATGTCCTGTAGGTGTGACCTTTTCTGGAGACATATGAAATCAGTCTGGTGCCTGTTGGGCGCTGTATTCATTTTTTAAAAGCTGCAGTACAAGTGCACTTAACAATTAATAAATATTTTAGAAGGACACACTTTTTAAAAAGCCTAAGAAATAGTCATTTACATTTTTCAGTTGTGGTGTTTTTCAGTCAGGAAATTAGCTCATGAGGAAAAGAAGCAAGTGCACGGTTCTTTCTTCTCTTGGAAGAATGCCTTTCCATTGAAAAGACATATTTTGAAGTCTGCAAACAAGAGCGGTAGGGGATTTCTTTTCCCGATATTGCTTCCCGAGTAGAGGAAGAAACGAAGAAAAAGCATGGTTTCACCAGAGGAAGAAAATGTGGTGATGAAGAGGGCAGATGTCAGAGTTTTGAATGGTGTTCATGACTTTCGGGGCAGTCCAGCACCTGCCTCCATTAGGCAGAACACCTGGCAAAATTAATAAAGGGGATGACGTGGCAGAGTCAAGCACATAGTTTGGTGAAAATCGTGTCTGTGGAGATTTTAAAGAAAAGGTAATAAACTGATCTAGGAGGGCACGCCTGGGTACCCTCAAAGCAAAGTGTGGAGCTCTGGAGGCTCCTTCCAGCTGCACATTTCTGGAATTTCTGTGACACTGTTTTTCATATGCTCAAACTGAGAGTTTTGCCATGCTGAGTCTTAGAGTCCACTTTTCTCTGAGCATCCCACGTGTCTCTGGGCATGATCTTTGTCTGTGGTTTTCCATCTAGACCAGCTCACTGGGCTGTGAAGCTTTGCCAGGGGGTGAGTTCACCTGAAGGAGAACTACTCTCACAACATGCCCATCCCCTTCCTCTTTCTATGAAACTGCTTTTCCTTTAACTTCAAAGAGTCAGCAAAATATGTTAGTTTATGATTGTCAGGTGGTATACATTACAACTACAAGTTTCCTGAAACTGGGAAAAGATATTAATGTTCATAAACCAAAGCCAACTAGAAGAAAGCATCAATAGCTTTCAATACATTTGTTTCTTTTTTTCTTTTCTTTTTCTTCCTATCTTCCATACCTGATGTTAGATTGCTAGTTATTCCAGGGATTTGAGAGGGGTTTATATGTATTTACCCAGTTTTGGTGTTGTTTTTTTTAATATTTGTATGCTTTAGTCATGAGCAGTTTGAGGTTTTGGTTGAGTGGTATGCTTGCAGCCTGTTACTACATGAAGTTTTCCTGTGCGCTGGCCTTTTCCACCTAGTTAGACAATATCCCATTTTGGACTGACAAAATACTTGTTTTTGCAAGATGAAGCAAAGGAAACTTGAACAGGTCTCTCAGGCCTCACAAAGCAAAACTCCCATTAATGGCAAGGAAGAAATTGCTTTGCTTGAGCAAAATCTCAATGCTAAGGACATTGGTGCCAACTTTCGCTTCTAGCCAGGTGGGCATTTTGGAGGGCTATGGTGGAGACATTGCTTCCCCATTCCCTAGCATCCCGAGCAGTGCCAGCCTGCCCTTACAGCTGGGTGTACCCCTACTTGAAATGCTCAGTGTTGCCCTTTGCCCATCACCTGCCAGACCGTGCGGCCGCCGGAGCCCAGCCTTGGTGCCTCGCAGGGTAAAGCAGCCGGCAGCAGCCTTGATGCTTGCTGCAGGTAGAAGGCAGCATCTCACGTACCAAGAGTTTGGAGCTGTGAAGGTTTCTCACACAGTTTGGAAACAGGAGCTGGTATCCACCGAGATGTGGGCATGTAAATCCAGCCTTAGCATGGAAGCTGTCTGCGCCCACAAGGAGCAACCAGGAACTTTTTAAAGACTTGTTTGCAAGACAGCTGCTGTGTCTGGCTTTGATTGCAGATGCGGACAATAGTGGAGAAACCAGGCCAGGATGGAGGGTGGCGTCTCATTCCTTCCAAAGGAGGAGAGGCATGCAGCCGTCGCTTTGGCACAGGCACCATTTAGGTCCCTCTCTGATGCTCTGTGTGTGCAGACCATATGTTACATCCAAGATTTCTCTCTCCTGTTTACTTCTATCCATTTTCCCATGTGCCATCAGCCCTGAAGCTCTTTTTTCTCTTCTAGTCTCTCTTGGCCAACAGACTGTAATTCATAGGTCATCTTCAAAGGAGGCGCAGAGCAGTAAAAGCCCAAGCCCTGGGGTGATGCTGGAAGCTGATCCTCCAGCAAAGCCTGGAGAAGCCTTGCCTTTCAAGGGAGCACTCAAAGTGTCCTCTGAAACACAAAACTGTTTAGTTAGTTACAACAGAGTTATTCCCTTGATGCACGTAGTAAAACACGTGTAAATGTGTAGTGTAGGGGAGGCACCCAGTTTTATGACAGGTTCACATAACTTCTGGATGACAGCAGTCAGCTGCAGGTCAGGGCTCTGCAGGTTGTGGCCTAATGAAGAAAAACTCGGAGAGAGCATCGGGCATCTTTGATGTAAACTGCCCAGCGGAGGCCTGCTCTCCCGAAAGCAAAAAGCACCAAATAGCAAGAAACAATTTCAGTCGATGTAGCTTCTCTCCATTGACACGTAGCCCAAAAGCACTTTGATTTTTGCCTGCTATCCACATTCCTGTTTCTCTGTCAGGTGATTCATGCCACCTCCTCTGAGCTTTTCTACTCTGGTATTTTTACTAGCTAATGTGAATACAGAGAGATTCCAGTAGTTCAGCTAGCTAGCTTAAAACTATATAATTTTTATGTTCCACTGGAATACATGGTGTAAAACAGTAGCCGCAGACATGCAAGCACTCTCAAAATAAACTTTTACCTACATGCAAAAAACAAAGGGTCTGTTGGAGATTGTAATAACCATATAAAATCATTTTGACCAGTCTCATATAAAGGTGGCTTCCGTGATATCTTGCAACAGTTTCCAGCCCATTCCAGAAAGATTTAATTTAATCCATGCTGCAGTTAGTGGTTCCTTTGGAACTGCAATGTTCTTCTCAGAAATATGTTCACCCCCAGCCTGTATTTACTAAGTAGATGCCAACTAGGCCTGGGTTCAGCGATGTTTACAAGGCCAGTGTTACAGGGATTTAAACAGAAAACAACAAAAAAACATACACAAACCAGAGGAGTTCTCACTGGCAGTTCAAAAATGCTTGCACGGGGTCATGGGACGTTTGTCTCAGATTCAGAGATGTCACTTGTCTGCAACTCAGACTCTCTCATCTTTCAGGAAAACTATACTGTAGAAGAATAAAAAATAATTTGATTTTTTTGTGTTCTTTCCAAGCAGCTCCAAAACCCAGAGAAAGAGCTCTCAGGATGCCGGAGCCAGCGAAGTCCACCTCTGCCCCCAAAAAGGGCTCCAAGAAAGCCGTGACGAAGACCCAGAAGAAGGGCGATAAGAAGCGACACAAGAGCAGGAAAGAAAGCTACTCCATCTACGTTTACAAGGTGCTGAAGCAGGTCCACCCCGACACCGGCATCTCCTCCAAGGCCATGGGCATCATGAACTCCTTCGTCAATGACATCTTTGAGCGCATTGCTGGAGAAGCCTCCCGCCTGGCCCATTACAACAAGCGCTCCACCATCACCTCCCGGGAGATTCAGACGGCCGTGCGCCTGCTGCTCCCGGGAGAGCTGGCCAAGCACGCCGTCTCGGAGGGCACCAAGGCCGTCACCAAGTACACGAGCTCCAAGTAGCCAGATGCCACCTCTCCAATGGGACCATCAAGCACCAGACCCTCCGCGCAAGCACAGATAGGCAGCCACGGTCCGGATAAACGTCACAGCTATTATCCACAGCAATTTACAGCCTTGGGATGGGCATGACAAGCTGTCTGGTGGAAGAGGAGACGGTGATCTGGATGTCGGCTGATTTTCATAGTCTGTTCGGGATGTGCGACGGGTTCTGTGGGGCTGGTGGAGGAGGCCTCTGCTTTCACATCTCATCCGAAGGACTGACCGTCTGCAGTGTATCCAAACTCTCCTCTGTGCTTGGCAAACATGCATGTTTGGCGCTGGCAGGAGAGACTGGCAGCGGTAACACAGAGACGCCGTCTCTGAAGTCTTCCTGTTTGGCTGCTTTCTCACAGTCATCTGAGATGGGCACCGAGGAGTCAGCGCTGGTATCCTCTCCCTTGTAGCCCAGATCCATCCTGGTGTACAGTGGCACAGCCCACCCCATGCCGGCAGAAGTGGCATCGACAGCTACCGGGCACAGGCTGTAGAATAAAGTGTATTGAATCAACAGCTATCTGTGCTTAACAGCCTGTTTTAAAGAGCAAGCCTGGCAGGCAGGCAGATGCCCAGGATGATACCAAGCACTGTTCCTCCTTGTCACTCCTGGTGGATGAGCCATCGAACAGGCTGAGGGTGCCGGCGCTGGAGCTGCCTGCTGCCTCCCACCTTGTGCTGAGGTGGATGGATGGACAAGGGGGGATGGTGGGGCTGGTTCGCTGCCTTCCCTGGCTGCTGCTTTGCCTGCTTTAGGACTTGCTTTGATGTGCAAGACGTTGCTAATTCTGCTGCTTTTCAGATACTTTCCTCCCTCGATGCTGCCTGGGTGCTCCTTTCCACTGTAAGCGTGGGCGAGACAGGGTGGTGCCCAAGGGTGTCCCCTCTCCTGCGAGTGCTGGGGTGGCACAGGACAAACAGAACAGGGGTGTCGGGAGGGGACTGAGGATTTGGAAAGGCATTTGGGTGGCTAGCACAGTCCGGAGGAGAGGCAGGCTCCCCACAGAGATCGCTGCGGGCAGCTCACCTGGTCCTGCCTTCCCTGCTTTATTCACTGGTTAAAAAGCAAAATCAAAAACTGGGGCTGGGTGGATGTATAGGGACACTTGCCTGCATCCCAGTGATATTTTAAAGATTAAATAATTTTAAACTACTTGAGATACTCCCCGTGTCTTCTCAAAGTCCACAGTAAGGTGAGCAATAATAAAATCCTGAATAAAGCCATAGAGATTAGTGGAGGGACATCTCAGTTGCAGGTTTATCTTGCCCAAACTGCTGGATAGCAGAAGAGGAGCATGTGTAGAATTGGTGTGAAGTTGAAGCTTCCTACTCAAAACACAAAATTAGCCAACATTTTTAAAAAATACCAAAATCTCTGGTAGGCAGTAGCACTCAGATAAAAAATATTCATGTCTTTAAAATAACAACTGCTTTCTGCAGTGTATTCTGTAAATAAAAAGGGCAGCAAAGACACAGGATCCAGAACTAAGTGCAGGTTCTCTCCAAACTCCAAGACCTTGTTTTTAATGAAAAGGTAAATTCATACTCCAAAACAACAACCTTGCAGTACATCTCTCACTTTCCCCTACATTTATCTCTATCCTGTTTCTTTACACTTTGAGAGTGATGGGGACCCTTGACAAATTTATGTTGCTTTTGGAGCTGTAGGACTCTGCAGCTCCAGAAGATTCATTTATTTCTTGTTTTTATAACAGTGTTGCAGTCATTTTCCAGTTGGTCTGAGGAAAGGACCGCATAGACCTGCTCAACCAAGAGCACCTCAGAAACCCGAGAGCAGCATGGAGTCCCACGTGGTCTCTGTGCAAGAGCGAAGGTCAAGTTATTTATGGGCTGCTCCCATCCCCCTCCTGCAGCTTGGAGTTTGAACACCCCACACCCAAAAAGGGGCTTTCCTCCCATACTTTGCTCAGTGATAGCACACTCCAGCCACGTTTCATACCGTAATGCCAGCAGGAATGCCTAGCGATATCTTTCAGAAGGACCAAAAGCCGGGTCCCCAGCTGACAATGCCCACAACAAGCAGCTCCCAGCAGCAGTACCTGTACTCGCTAGCATTGGTAACCCGGACCACTTGGCCAGGACACTGTGGAGGTGACAGCTTAGCACTTCCTTCACTTCCTTTTGTTTTCCAATCAAATAGTCAAAATCAGGTACCAAAGATGAAAATGTATCTGCAGTGGGCCTAGAGCCACCGTCCTTGGTCCCTCTCCCACCAGAAATCAGACAGCGGATGATGCAGAAGGGGAATATAGGGAGTGAAGAGCTGGCTGGCAGTGCTGGAGCTTTCTCCTCCTGTCCCTATGAGCTGCAGGTCAGAATTCATCCCCTTGGGGAGTCCTCCTGAAGGTAGGAATTCAGAGTGGAATAAATCCGCTCCAGTTCAAGCGGTGTGTGCAAGCCAGGACACATATGTCCCAGGATTACCCGGCACAGCCTCTAAATCCTCACTCTTTCGAGCAGAACAGAGTCCTGCTCCAGCCTCCGCAGGCCACAAGATGTCAGGAAAATGAAATGAGATGTTGTCCTTCCAGGGTCTCCTGGGCAGCTCGGGGAGCCAGGGACAAGGGTGGGCGCTCGGATGAGAGCTGCTGGCCCCATACACATGCTCACAGAACTGGTCTCATTTTCTTCGGCCACTGTTGCCACTCTCCATTTTTGGAGATTGTTTCAGAGAGAGGAGAAACGGCGATTTAAGGCTATAAAAATACTTGAAGACTTAAAGAGGATTTTTATATTGTCTAAAGCCAGGTGACTGAGACTGGTCATCTCCATCCATTTATATTTTAGGCTGTCATTGCACACGTCATTTGCTCTTCACTCTCCCATGGTATCGCTTTTTTACTTGCCCCTGACAATGTGGAGCACAGGATTGAGGAACTGATCCAGCTTAAAATGAACCTTTTTTTTTTTTCTTTTCTTGCAAGCCTCATTTTAACCCAGTTCTGGTGGCTGCTCTGATCTGTCACTGTCATATAGACGCTTGTGCCAGCCAAGGGAAGGGCTGATCCAGGAAAGGCAGAAAGCAGCTGGGAAATTAATGGCCTTAGTGTCAAAGGAGAAATCAAGAAAGGAAATCTGTGTCTCCTGCAGTGGTTCAGTTAGCAGAAAAGACGTGGCTTTTAAATACACCACTACGGGTGTTACCCTTGCAGTGTCCCACAAGCAGTTTCTCTGACAGTCCTGGCACTGGAAATGGACACATCCCATTTCTGCAGATCCCAGAGGACTCAAGTGTTACAGAAGGGAAAGGGAGCAGATTGGGAAAGGGACTCTGCTCCCATTCAGCCACCAAACCGTAGCGGCTGGAGGCTCCTTGTTCAGCAGGCAAAAAGCATGCCCTTCCCGCAGCTGCCTGCTACTGTATAGGCACACGCTCACAGCAGTTTAACAGGAATTATTTTGACTGTGATGAGCTAGACTGAGCCTTAAAAGTAGAGGCAATAGAGAATTGACTAAAAGTTCAAGCATCGATTGTCCACTCAGTCAACTGAGGTGTGTCATACTCCACAGTTCCCTGGTAAGAGGATTTGCTGCAGAAAAGGGGTTCTGTGCTTCAGGACCTGTGCTTTCAAAAAATACGTATTTACAGCTCTGGAACTGATAAAACATTTTTAAAATGAAGATAATACACCAAGCCCCACTGTCCCTACCTGATTCCTACTGCAATCCCAGAAGCATCTCTGGGACATTCTTGTGTTTTGCCAATTAAAAAAAAAAGTCAACTGCAGATTGAAAGTTGGAAAAGGAAGCTGAAAAAGTGATACAGGTTGATATTAACCTCATAGTAACCCCATGGAGGTCACTGCACAGTTATTTTTTTCATGTACAATTTAAGAAATAAAATTAGCTGCTATAGATCCACTCCTGATTTTTCACCCTGCTTCCCTAGAATAGCTTACAAGTCCACCCGCCCTTCACGGCAGACCTCAACCTGCAGAAGAACCGAGTGGCCATGTGCACGGAGGTTTGCTCCTGCTCAGGACAGACAGGTCTTCAGTCAAGCATGGGTCAAACAAGAGTAAAAACAAGTTGGAGGATGAGTGCCTGTCCTGGACACTTGCGTGTTCTAGGAAGGGATGCCTGAGCTGAGACCGCTGAAGAGCCCTGCCCGGAGGAGGCACGTGGCTGTGTGCCCTTCTGCCCTGGTGACAGGCAGCCATGTGGAGGTAGCCCCAAGTCCCGGCCACCCCTGGAGTCAAGCTTGGCATGGCCTCTGCACAGCCCTGAGCATTTGTCCCATCACAGCATTTCCTGACAGTTTACATCCAGACCAAATTGTTTACAGGGAAAAGAAGAATGTGAACTAAACCATAAAAATCACTTGCTGCCAGAATTTCGGAAGTTCCCTGGGACCAGCACCTGGGGAGCACTCTCTCGTGCTTACTCTCCATGCATGGTATCTCGTGGGCTTATGTACACAGTTTTTCTGACAGTGTTACACCAAGTATGATCTATGTTATATTACTGCTGGTTTATGACCTATCTTACAGCTAATGACCTGTTTTCTGTTAAATGTATAAATAAAATGTAAATGCCAACCTGTTGAAGGTCAGGTGAGACCCAGCTGTCAGGATGTCTTTGCTTCTGCCGTATCACCAGGCCCCCCCCCCAAGCCCTACATTTCTCTTTCTCTCATCGTATTTCCTCCAGACCCGGGGTGAGAGCAGCCACTCTTCCAGCAGAGATGGAGCCTGGCTGGTCCTGGCAGAGGGTCAGTCAAAAACCAGAGTAGCCCCTCCACTGAGGGCATGTCACAGGCTGCCACCGTGAGTCCTCACGGGGGTGTCACTCACCCCGAACATGGGTGCAACATGAGCATGTGTGTGCTTTCAAGCACTTCCAGCCAGCTTGCCCTGGGCAGAGCTGAGCCTGCAACCTGCGCGCTCTGCCTGGCACCCATCATTTAACCCCTCCAAGGGCAACAGTTTTGACTTACACAGACTGAAGCACTGTGAGATTCTGTGGCTGGAAAAGTGCTTTATGCACGTTCAGAATTTCTGTTTATCTGAATTAACGATTGCTGCCACTAGAAACATCTTTCCTTGGACTATGAGAAGTTTAGAGGCAACAAACATGGAATAAGATGTAGCATCTGAAAACCTCAGGAAGAGAAAGATCTTCCTTTTAAAAAATGATTGGTAAATACACTCAAGTGAAATACCTGCTGGACATCAGCATCATAATGCACTCACTGGAGTGGGAAATGCATGTGCAGTGCTAGATGCTGTGTGCTGAAGAAACAGGCTAAGACTTCAGATAGGGCATATAACAGAAATCAGAGCTAAAAAAATTTAGAGTCTCTTTAAAGACAGACTCATAAGCTTAACATAATTGGGGAAAAGCAGTATTTGGAAAAAAAAAAAAACTTATAATTAACTGATCTGAAGTATTTCTTTCCAAATAAATAAATTATGCTACTTCTAATGCTGATTTCCATTTTGACACCCCTTTGCAGAGCAGCACCCAAAATGCACTTTCATAACAGAGCTGACATCTGGGCCTCGGGAAGACCCAAACCAGGTTACAAAAGGTAGAGCATAACCTATGGTCATGCTCCTTCAGGATGTTGGGAGATAATGAATTTTTTTTTAGTTATTCAGTTATTACTTCGCTATTATTGACTGGTTATTCAAAGACCATTAGCTGGACTCAGGTGCCACATGGCTAAGGCTGTTGGCGGAACCAAACACAAGAACTCAGGAGCATCAAAAGTAACTATGAGAGAACAAGGTTTAAAATAAGTAAAAAGGAGCAGCATTTCCTGCAACAAGCAGTCCACCTATTGAGCCCTTTGCCAACGGATGTTGGAGATGTTACAGTTTGGTTCAAGAACAAATTAATGGAAGAGAAATCCATTGAGAGTTACTAAACACATATAAACTATGTTGAAAATTATTAGAGGCTGGGAGAATAGGAGGAGAATGTTACTGTATGTGTCTGCCCTATTCCTACAGTCTTTCTTGCCTATTCTCTCATGGCCACTGCTGGAAACAAGATTTTGGGTTCGATGCACCAAAGGGCTGATCCAGATTGTCTGCATAAATTCATCTTTGGTGCATCTGGATCTGGCTGATCCAGATTGTCTGCATAAATTCATGTAATGTCTGCCTTGTACTACCCATGAACTTTGGAGGGTTTCAGGCAGTTTTCTTAGGCCACTGATGCTCAGAAGAAAGCATAAATGAAAGCTTTTTATCTTCCTTTCCTGCTGTTGTGGTTTAACCCGGCAGGCAGTTAACACCACACAGCCGTTCGCTCGCTCCCCTCCCCCCCGCGTGGGATGGGGGAGAGAATCGGAAAAAAAAGAGTAAAATTCATGGGTTGGGATAAAGACAGTTTACTAAACAAAAAGAAAATAATAATGATGATAAAAGAATATACAAATATACAGATGCACAATGCAATCGCTCACCACCCGCTGACTGGTGCCCAGCCCGTCCCCAAGCAGCGGCCCCCCCGGCCCACTCCCCCCAGTCTATGTACTGAGCATCCCCTTCCACCGCA